TAGTTCATAAAAATGTCACTCAGAAATAAAGCAAAACCTGTCTAGCCCGACACCATCCTGTATCCGACAAATCGCTTGGATTGTATGCTCTGTATACATAATTAGAGAGAGTATTATTATAAGCAACTTTTTTTTTAAAGAAAATGGGATTATAGTTATAATTAAAATAAAAATTCGAGGTTTTATATACTGCTTTATCACAACCAAATTCGTAGTTTGTCTCAAAGCAGCTCATAAATTATTATCCTTGATTATAGGGCCTATGCAACCAGCCAATATGTTTCTTAACTACCTGTGGAGCAAACAGACATTTCGGCGCTCACAGCTAGTATTCAACAATTCTAGCACTGCCCAACCACGTACTCATTTACAGCTGAGTAGACTGTATTAAGCGGTGTGAAGTATTTTGCTAAAAGATACAACACAGTGCCGTGACGCGACTCGAACCCGCAACAATTCGGTCACAAGCCCTACCACTAGACTACCGTGCCTCCTTATGGCTGATTCAGTTGTATGTCAGAGTAAACAGGTGTTGTATTAGACATGCTTTACTGTGAGGGTGATACATGTAACTCTAGCAAATACAAAATAGCGCACTTTTGTTTGTTTGTTTGGGGTGCACATCAGACCTATGCAGATGTTTCTTCTCAGCCATTGGGTTCCAGCGTCGCGGAATTGGAAGACTTTTATTCCTCTCAGTCAGTCGGTAAAGGAATTTGCCCTATGGTGGACAATTCGGAACAATGTCCTGAAGGGGGTGTCCTTGCACAAGAGCTCACCCACTATGACCCTGTATACCGATGCGTCCAAGACAGGTTATGGGGCGTACCTGAACGGGCAGGCTCGCTCAGGTTCGTGGACAGGGGATCATCTTTCCGAACACATCAATGTGATCGAGATGAGGGCAGTGTTGTTGGCTATCCAGGACCTAAGGTCTTATCTGCAAGACCAGGTGATTTGCGTGGCAACAGAAACTCAACGGTTGTAGCTTATTTGCAGAAGCAAGGGGGCACCAGGTCTCACGTCCTGTGTGCCCTGGCCATTCGCATTTTGCTACTTTGCCAGGAGTGGGGCCTAACCATTCAGGTCAAGCACCTTCCGGGCAGACTCAATGTCCTTGCAGACACCCTGTCAAGACGTCTTCAGCCGGTTCTAACGGAGTGGCAGCTCGATCCATCCATATTCCGAGCAATATGTCTGGTTTGGGACAGGCCTCATGTAGACCTATTTGCCACAGCCTTGAACCATCAGTTGCCGACGTTTGTGTCTCCCGTTCCAGATCCAGCAGCATGGGGAGTAGATGCTCTGTCACTGGACTGGAAGGGGTTGCATGCTTACGCCTTTCCCCCCTTCAACTTGGTGGCCAAGGTCCTCCAGAAGTACGAGGAGCAGCCTTGCTCCCTAATTCTGGTGGCTCCCTTGTGGCCGAGGCAACCATGGTTCCCTCAGCTTCTATCGTTTCTGGTGGAAGAGCCTCTGGTCCTTCCACCCAGGTGGAACCTGTTACGACAGCCGAGGTCCAGAATCATGCACTCCCGCCCGGCTATACTCCACCTTCACGCGTGGAGGCTATCTCCGGTGGTCTCGCGCAGAAGGGGTTTTCTGGACCGGTGTCCGACTGTATNTACCTTCACGCGTGGAGGCTATCTCCGCTGGTCTCGCGCAGAAGGGGTTTTCTGGACCGGTGTCAGACTGTATCGCTAGGTCCATTAGGTCTTCTTCCGCGGCAGTCTACCAGTCTAGGTGGAGCATATTCTGCGATTGGTGTGGTCAGAGGCAGGTTAATTCACTCAAGACCTCTGTTCCCCTAATTGCAGATTTTTTACTGCATTTGTTTCGCAGTAAGAAATTAGCTCCTGGTACCATTGCCGGCTATCGGTCGGCTATAGCTGGTATCTTATCTTATGCAGGGCGACCAGAGGTAGGATCTTCCTCCTCCTTGTCCGCCCTCATCAGAGGCTTTACCATTAAGAGACCTAGAGTTTGGCGTCTAACTCCTCAATGGGATTTAGCTTTGGTTCTGGAGTCCCTTTTGGGCACTCCTTATGAGCCTTTGAGTCAAGCCTCCTTGAAATTCTTGACTTTCAAGACTGTGTTTCTTGTCACCCTTGCCTCGGGGAGAAGGCGTAGCGAGGTTCATGCCTTATCAGCGCATTCCTCCTGTTTACATTTCGGCAGGAATTACTCCTCCGTGACTATCAGGACGGAACCTTCTTTCCTCGCCAAGAATCAGGTTCCGGGGTTTTCGCCGGAACCTGTCCGCATTCCTTCTCTCTCTGACCTGGTTGGTAAGGACGAGCGTGATCGTCTTCTCTGCCCTGTCAGAGCTCTCAGATATTATCTGGAAAAGACAGGGGGGATCGAGTATCACAGTCTTGGCTTGTTCTGCCCATCAAGAGTGGCCAGTCCAGTATTTAGGCACAATCCATCTCCCGATGGATTTGCCAGGTTATTAGGCTGGCTTATGAGTCGGCTTCGGATGATGTCAGAAGACTATTCAAGGTTAGGGCTCTGGCAGCGTCTTGGGCCCTTCTCAATGGCGCTCCTTTTTCAGCGGTTATGTCCTCAGCCTTTTGGCGAGGACACACTATACCTTTACAGAGTTTTATCTGAGATCACTGTCGTCCTTCTCAGACAAGCTTTACTCTTTGGGTCCGGTGGTTGTTGCCCAGTCAGTGGCTTGCCCACCGACCTCAGAGTAGAGTGTTCTCTGTTTTTAATTTTTTATGCGTTAGCATTGCGACTGAAAATCTTTGCTTGGCAATGATCTTTCTGTCTTTTAATTTGGGATGCTCTATATATAAGAGCTTCTGGATATTAAGGTTCCAATTGATTGTGACCAGTTTACCGCCCTCCTGGATTAGCCATGGTCCTGCCGGATAGGAGTATCCACTAGGTAAGACGAATTCGCATAATAATTGGACGTGGTAAGTATTGTTTTTGATATAAAATTGAGTTTTTTTTATGTAAAACCCATTTTTATGATAAAACTACTTACCACATCCAATGTGAGTCCCATCCTCCTCCCTGGCTCCTCCTGCTCCTTTAGGCTTTTTGCTTTTAGGTGTTTTTGTTCGAGTTTCGAATAGAGGAGTTGAAGGTGCGCGCGCATCCTACACCCGTATGTCCGGTTTGGACAGGGAGTAGTTTCGCATTTGCGCGGGGCATTTGAAACTTTACTTTGGGAGTTAAAGAACTGGTAGTTGGAGATCATTTGCATAATAATTGGACGTGGTAAGTAGTTTTATCATAAAAATGGGTTTTACATAAAAAACCTAAATTTTATACAATCAATACAATAAGCATATACATTAAACAAAACTACTAGTCCTATGCCACTTGGCTAATATCTCTCTTGGGGGGTATGTGTGTGCTGGAGATGTAATGACATGGTGGGTACCTGGATATTTATATGGGGGACAACACAGGGAAACGAAGGAAGTTAGAAAAGGAGGATGACAGGAAAGATAGGAAACAAAAAAGATTCAATGGGGGCAGCAGGTACATTCCGTTTATAGAGGAAATAAAGAAACCACCCCAGATTATCCAGGGGTCCCCATATTAGTCGCATCGTACGATCATGTAGCGGGATACAACAGGCATATCTTTTCCCGAACATGTACGGGTTGAAATAGCGAACAACCATATTGTTATTGTATTTGAAAAGAAACGAAAACAACACCTTTTGAGTATATTTTCAAACATGTTTAAACTTATCACTGACATTTTGTTTGTTGTAATCACAGGATATTTCTTATGAAAATAAATATAAAACATTTTGTTGTGAATGAAAATTTGAGACTTTGAAATAGAGTTAACCTTATAAAGACGTATACATTTTGGCATGACTTCTCTTTTTTATTTTGGTTTTATCTTTATCAAGATGTATTTTCCCCCGAATTAATTGAACGTCTTTGCCAATACAAAACACAAGGGATTATTGACACGCGCAACCTTTTGGAATTGATCACTAACATACATGTACTTTGTGTTGTGATCATGGATTACTTTTCTAATGAAAAGAAATGCAAAATATCTTATATAAAGTTCGCCATTTGAAAATTTGTGACTTCGACACAGAGTTCACGTTAGCAAAACATGTATTTGGCAAGTCATTTTGTTTTCTTTATCTCAATTGATAGTTTTTTTAATGAATTGAACGTCTTCGCCAATACAAAACACTAGGGAGTATTGACACGCGCAGCCTTAAGTATTGTTATATTAACTTTTAAGTACATTTGTATAGTTTCAATCCTTTTGGAATTGATCACTGACATACATGTGCTTTGTGTTGTGATCATGGATTACTTTTCTAATGAAAAGAAATGAAAAATATCTGATATAATGTTCGCCATTTGAAAATTTGAGACTTTGACACAGAGTTCACCTTAGTAAAACATGTATTTGGCATGTCATTTCGTTTTCGTTATCTCAATTGATAGTTGGGTTTTTTAATAATTGAACGTCTTTGCAAACACAAAGCACAAGGGATTATTGACATATGAATTGAAATAATACAAGTGAAAGCAACTCGCAAGTCAAAATCAATTCAAAAATTCATTCTGCACAGTTTATGACACGCACAAAAATAATAATATTTATTTGTTTTGTTAAAAACCATCGCGGGATTACTGACACGTAAAATGTTTGCTCGAAGGTTCAATTTGATTTAAACATATTTTTATTTGCATTTAATATACAAAAGGGATTGGGCACAAGTTGTCCAACTTATGTAAAGCCCTTTCCACTTACATTGTATACCAACCAAGGGAATTAACGTCTAGCTGTATGCTTTTCCTGATTAAAAATATGCTTTCGCTGAGAAAAAGTAATTTTATTTTTTGTTATATATTTGATAAAGTAGTTGTCAAGAAAGGTTTGATTAAAAAAGCAAATATTCGAAAATCTAATAAATATATCACTTTAAGACCCCGTAGAATCTGTTTGTTACCATGGAAACACAATTCATCTCTAAAAGTAGCCGGGGAATAATTTCAGTGTTAAACCAACCAAGCATACACGTGCTTAAAGTTAAAACACTCAATAGTCGTTATAGATGTTATTTTCATTGCCGTCATTGTTAATGAAATGATTTTGTTGTTGTTGATGTTGTCGGTATCATTGTTGTTGTCGGTATCATTTGTGTTGTCGGTATCATTGTTGTTGTCGGTATCATTGATGTTGTCGGAATCATTGGCGTTGTCGGTATCATTGGTGTTGTCGGTATCATTGATGTTGTCGGTATCATTGTTGCTGTCGGTATCATTGGTGTGGTCGGTATCATTGTTGTTGTCGGTATCATTGTTGCTGTCGGTCTCATTGTTGTTGTCGGTATCAATGGTGTTGTCGGTATCATTGTTGTTGTCGGTATCATCGTTGTTGTCGGTATCATTGATGCTGTCGGTATCATTGGTGTTGTCGGTATCATTGTTGTTGTCGGTATCATAGATGTTGTCGGTATCATTGGTGTTGTCGGTATCATTGCTGTTGTCGGTATCATTGTTGTTGTCGGTATCATCGTTGTTGTCGGTATCATTGATGCTGTCGGTATCATTGATGCTGTCGGTATCATTTTTGTTGTCGGTATCATTGATGTTGTCGGTATCATTGGGGTTGTCGGTATCATTGATGTTGTCGGTATCATTAGTGTTGTCGGTATCATTGGTGTTGTCGGTATCATTGAAGTTGTCGGTATCATTGGTGTTGTCGGGATCATTGGTGTTGTCGGTATCATTGTTGTTGTCGGGATCATTGGTGTTGTCGGTATCATTGTTGTTGTCGGTATCATAGATGTTGTCGGTATCATTGGTGTTGTCGGTATCATTGATGTTGTCGGTATCATTAGTGTTGTCGGTATCATTGGTGTTGTCGGTATCATTGCTGTTGTCGGTATCATTGTTGTTGTCGGTATCATTGTTTTTATCGGTATCATTGGTGTTGTCGGTATCATTGTTGTTGTCGGTATCATTTGTGTTGTCGGTATCATTGATGTTGTCGGTATCATTGATGTTGTCGGTTTCATTGTTGTTGTCGGTATCATTGTTGTTGTCGGGATCATTGGTGTTGTCGGTATCATTGTTGTTGTCGGTATCATAGATGTTGTCGGTATCATTGGTGTTGTCGGTATCATTGCTGTTGTCGGTATCATTGTTGTTGTCGGTATCATAGATGTTGTCGGTATCATTGGTGTTGTCGGTATCATTGGTGTTGTCGGGATCATTGGTGTTGTCGGTATCATTGGTGTTGTCTGTATCATTGATGTTGTCGGTATCATTGATGTTGTCGGTATCATTGGTGTTGGCGGTATCATTGGTGTTGTCGGTATCATTGGTGTTGTCTGTATCATTGATGTTGTCGGTATCATTGATGTTGTTGGTAACATTGGTGTTGTCGGTATCATTGATGCTGTCGGTATCATTTTTATTTTCGGTATCATTGGTGTTGTCGGTATCATTGTTGTTGTCGGTATCATTGTTTTTATCGGTATCATTGGTGTTGTCGGTATCATTGTTGTTGTCGGTATCATTTGTGTTGTCGGTATCATTGTTGTTGTCGGTATCATAGATGTTGTCGGTATCATTGGTGTTGTCGGTATCATTGAAGTTGTCGGTATCATTGGTGTTGTCGGGATCATTGGTGTTGTCGGTATCATTGTTGTTGTCGGGATCATTGGTGTTGTCGGTATCATTGTTGTTGTCGGTATCATAGATGTTGTCGGTATCATTGGTGTTGTCGGTATCATTGGTGTTGTCTGTATCATTGATGTTGTCGGTATCATTGGTGTTGTTGGTAACATTGGTGTTGTCGGTATCATTGATGCTGTCGGTATCATTGTTGTTGTCGGTATCATTGATGCTGTCGGTATCATTGTTATTTTCGGTATCATTGGTGTTGTCGGTATCATTGTTGTTGTCGTCCTTCATTTTGTCGTCGTTTTATTCACTGTCGTTGTTGTGATGGTTGTATTTGTCGCGGTTCCGTGTTTATTTTCTTTGACGTCATTTTTGCTGTTGTCGTTGATATTATAGTTGTTGCTGTGCACAGGTGTTACAATATTTTATTATTAAAATACTTAAATCAATTATGGTGTTATAATATTGTTTCAGCTTTGAGATATCCTACTGTTTTGCATGTATATGGTTAATTGTAATATTTTTAAAATAGAATGTTTCATACTTCCGGTACGAGTTCATTGATGTCGACGTTACACTCGAGCATTACCCATGCAGGTCGGAGTTTGAGAATCAAAATGAAAACATACTGTAAACTATTTCTAATGAAAACTTCCTTGAGAAGTTTGGCTTTCCTTTGCGCCCTCTTCTAGTTGAAATGGAAGAGGCATTTAATCTACGTCCTTAAGTTACCTTAGTTGTTTACAGGAAGTTAAAAAATATATCTATAGGAAGGTTAACAAAACATCTAAAGGAATTTAAACAATATATCTATAGAAAGTTAAACAAAAATATCTATAGGAAGTTAAACAATATATCTATAGAAAGTTTCTATTCCACTTAAACTTTTTATTAGTCTATCTGACCTAGGCCACGCTAAAACAAAATGTCTATCACATTTACCCCTTAGATATATCTAATAGTCAATAGAAATTGTCGTCAACGTCGTTCTTTTAATGCAAAGAACGCATCCATGTCAAACAATTGGTAAGATTAAGTTTTCTGATGAAGGTGACAGGGTACGGATTAAACACTTACTGGTTGTGATACATTAACCTTTCTACTAGTATTATGTAACACTTGGTGTTTGTACATTCACGAGATACTGAATTTGTAAATATACGATTTACTTGAATATCCTTTGTACGAATAATCCAGAATTTTTTTTATCAGAGTTATAAATTCGAGTTGCGAGATAGGTCAAATTTTGAGAAGCTGAAATCTGCAATGTTTCAGCAAACGGACGCTAAGCATATAAACACAATTCTCTTAGCCTTATATTCATGTACATGCATATAAATCCCTCGACAAAAAACCCTGACTGACATTTACATCAAGGACGTCCTCGGGTTAATATTAAAGAGAAACTGCACATTTGTCAAATTGTAATACGACACAGAGGGGCGGAAAACACTCAAACTTGAAGGTCGACCATTACGTAAATCTAAAACCAAACGACCTTGACTTCGTGATTATTTGTCTCGTGCATTAAGGTCATATTAAAGAAAATGTTAAGACATGCAAGTAGTTAAATGAGGTTTCTGAAACGGCAGGTTCGGGGGTTTATAGCGGTACGTAAAAGGTTTGGGATTAAACCTTTTTATCGTCTCTTGTAGATTTGTGATCAGTAAGGGAACTATGTTGCATGCTCTTAGCCACCGGATATGTATACGCCACTTCACTTCCGGTTTGACTAAGGCCACGCTAAAACAAAATGTCTATCATATTTACTTCTTAGATGCATTTAGTACTCTATAGAAATTGTCGTCAACGTCGTTCTTTTATGCAAAGATCGCATCCACGTCAAACATCTGGTAAGATTAAGTTTTCTGATAAAGGTGACAGGGTACGGATTAAACACTTACTGGTTGTGATACATTAACCTTTCTACTGGTATAATGTAAGACTTGGGCCCGTGTTCATGAAACCGTTCTCATGCTCAAGCATGGATTTTGTGCTCAAGTCTAATTTCTTGATCCGAATATAAATTATTTAAAAATTCTTATTTTGTCAATAATTTGGGAAACATTTGAAGAGACTTAAAGACAAATACTGTTTTCAATGTATACAATCGAATTTTTGATCATTTGACATGATTTGAGCAAGTTACAATAACGCTGCATTGGGCACAGAATCCATTCTTGAGCATGAAAAAGGTGACATGAATAAGGGCCTTGGTGTTTGTAAATTTCTCTTTTTTTTAATGTGGTTATTCAAGAGATACAGAATTCGTAAAAATTGATTTACTTGTATATCCTTTGTACGAATAATCCAGAATTAAATATTATTTTATCAGAGATAAAAAAAATTCCCCCCTTTTATATACATCGCAACAATATCTTTTTTTTTATTATCATATTTTATTTTTGATTGTTCACATGTTAGTATACAGTGGAGTACATGACAATTATTACATTGTATTTCATATCGTCTCGCATACTAATGAATTCTATATCTTCTTTTTCATTTTGTTTCTTTTTCCTGTACAATAACAACTGCTTGCGTTCTTATTTTTAGGTAGTAAATAATTCTAGATATGATTAACATCAATATTAAGAATGAGCAAAATATGAATTTAAATTCAATTAATCAATGTTCAATGCTGTGCTGATAATGGACCACTTCGCTACTACTTGGTCGGCTTTTGCACGGGGATATGACAGGATACATTGATTTTCAATTAGCTTATAGTATGATATTGCAGAACGGACCCCGCCAATAGTTGGCATTGTATGTTTGTTTCTGCATGAGTAAATATATTTCTTTATGATGATGATACACATATTCACACTTTCATTTTCAGGAGTGTCATCTATTCCGAATATAAAGGAAATATTTGACCATGGAAAATCAATATTACAATTAGTTACAAATTGTTGTCTTAAAAATGACCATAACGCACGTGTATGAGGACAATCCCAAAATAAATGCGTCAGCGTTTCTCTATTTACCGTACAAATATTACAAATTTCTGTTTCTGTAATGTTCATTTTCATTAGTCTAGAGTTTGTATAGAGTATTCCATGTAGCAATTTAAATTGAAAAGTTTGTAGTGTTGTGTCATCTGTTATATTGAAGGGTAGTTTGAAGTACATCTTCCAACTGTCATTTGTTATATCTAATCCCATTTTCCTTTGCCATTTTTGCATAGATGAAATAGGGAGATCTAGATATTGATTGACCAATACTGCATAAAAATCTCTAGTTATCTTTTCTTTCCCTTTTAGTATTTGTACATATTTGTTTTCTGGTACATCAATATTTTTCTTGTATGTTTTAATCACATTTTTCCATGAATTTGGGATAGATGCTAGTAAGCCATAGTACTCAACGAAGTTAATTTGGATATCATATTGAAGTTTA